CTCATTGTGGTTTTGATTTGCATTTCTCTAATGATTAGAGATGTTGAGAATTTTTTATATGTTTGCTAGCCATTATTTTGTCTTCTTTTGAAAAGTTTCTGTTCATTTCTTTTGCCCATTTGTTGATGGGGTTGTTTGATTTTTTCTTGTTGATTTTTTTAAGTTCTAGATAGATTCTAGTTATCGGCCCTTTATCAAATGTGTAGAGAGCAAATATTTTCTCCCATTCTGTAGACTGTCTATTCGCTCTAATGATAGTTTCCTTGACTGTGCAAAAGCTTGTTAATTTGATCAGAAATATCCAATTGCTTTTCATGGAGGTTTTACTAATTTACAGCACCACCAACAATGTATAAACATACTTTTCTCTCTGCATCCACGCCAACATCTATTGTTTTTTGACTTTTTATTAATGGCCATTTTGACAGCAGTAAGGTGATATCTCATTGTTGTTTTAATTTGCATTTCCCAGATGATTAATGATGTTGAGCATTTCTTTACAGGTTTGCTGGCTATTTGTCTATATTCTTTTGAAAAACTTCTGTTCATGTCTTTTGCCCACTTTGTAATGGGGTTGTTTCTTTTTGTTTTTTTACTGATTTGTTTGCTTTTTTTTATAGATTCTGGATATTAGCCCTTTATCAGATGTATAGTTTGTGAATATCTTCTCCCATTCTGTAGGTTGTCTATTTATTCTGTTGATTATCTCCTTTGCTGTGCAGAGGCTTTTAATTTAATCAAGTCTCATTTATTTATTTATTTTCATTGTTACTCGGATTGCCTTTGGCGTCTTAGTCATAAATTCTTTACCTAGGCTGATAGGCAAAGAAGAGTTTTTCCTATATTTTCTTCTAGAATTTTTAGGGTTTCATGCCTTACATTTAAATCTTTTATCCACCTTGAATTAAGTTTTGTATATGGTGAGAAATAAGTGTCCTGTTTCATTCTTCTGCATATGGCTCTCCAATTTTCCCAGCACCATTTATTCAGTGGGGCTTCCTTTCCTCAGTGTATGTTGTTGTCTGCTTTGTCAAAGGTCAGTTGGTTGTAGGTAGATGGTTTTATATCTGGATTCTCTATTCTGATCCATTTGTCTCTGTCTCTACCAGCACCATGCTGTTTTGGTTACCATAGCCTAGTAGTACAGTTTGAAGTCTGGTAATGTGATGCCTCCAGAATCATCCTTTTTGCTTTAGATTGCTTTGGCTATTCAGGATCTCTTTTGGTTCCAAATAAAGCAAAGAATTATTTTTTCTAGATCTATGAAATATGAAATTGGTATTTTGATGGGAAATGCATTGACTCTGTAAGTCACTTTGGGCAGTATGGACATTTTAACAATGTTGGTTCTACCAATCCATGAACATGAGATGTTTTTTCATTTGATTTTGTCATTTGCAATTTAATCTTCTAAGATTAAGATAGCCTCTTACCTCTAGCAGCCCAGAGATGAGTTGGAAGATGAGGTTTTGGTAAAGAGACAAGCACACAAATTGACACAGATATGACATGACATAAAGGGGAATACCACACCTACTTTGTCTGTAGTACCCATGCTGATTTTCTTCATCACAGATGAATTTATTAAGAAAGGGAGATTTTGGCCACAACTTTCACTGTGGAAAGTCCAAGTGTACATAGGTTATTGGTAGATCAAAAATCTGAGTCCTGAGCTTTCTGTACAATCCAGTGATTGTTAGACTAGATCCTTTAATGTTCCCTGGAAACTCAGACTCTTGAGGGAGGTTCCTAAGTGTAATCTGAAATAGACTTAGCTCAATGAAAGAGCATAAAAGGTGAAATTGTGCAAATGATTTGCCCCCTCTTAATCAAGAAGGTTCCCCCTTAATATCCACTCTGTTGAG